AAGTTTGAAACTGACCAGGAAGAAATTCACTACTACTCATATTCAGGAAAATATATCATTTATTTCTAGTTTCATACAGTTTTCTAACTTACTCTAATTTGAAGAAAATCTCAGATGCTTCTGAGTTGGTCCCTTATAAAACAAACATGCCTGTTGTGAGGCTTCAACCAGGTCACAAACATGCACAAGCAGCTCCTAAGAGTGGCCAGGGGAGCTAGGTACGTCACTGCCCCAGACGGGCTCTTCCAGAAAAAAGAAGAGTGGGGGATGAGGGTCAGTTCAGAGAGGGGAAAGGTGAGGCTGCTCCTGAAGATGTCAGCTAAGTCAGCTAAGCATGATGAGAGTCAGAATCAAGAATTTTCATTTAAACTCTCCATTTCTTATAGCCCCCTAGACACAGACCATTGTGATGACTACCCCTGGCTTTTGAACAGCTTAGAAGGAGTTTTTATGCCCCCTTAGGGTAAACATGATTTGTTCATTTTCCAGGTGAGAGAGACCTACTGGCTTGCCCAACATCTCACCAAATGAGTCACAAAGCGTGGACTTAGATTCAGACATGAACAAAAATTATCTGAAACTTGGATATAAGGCCAAGAGCATGAAACTGTCCTTTTGCTGTCATGCTGGGGCACCCTCCCCCCAGGGATTAATAATCTGGGGGAATGTACCTTTGTACAGGTGCATGTTAACTTGTAAATCTTGTCAGGTAGACATGCAAAGATTTCCCATTTAGTAGAAAAGACAACATCGAAGGTTATTTTTTCCATAGGACAACAAATAGTTTCCCATTGAACCTAGTCACTTCCTTCCAACCTTCTGCTTTTTAAGTACCTATAAATGTCAGTTCTTCAAAATGTTCCTTGTATAAGATTTGTCACCTTACTGGTTCTATCAATAAGTTAAAAAATCTTTGACATATCTTCATCTTATATTTACCTGAGAGCCACATTTTTACTTTTCTTGAAATTCAATTTCTTGCTATGTATATCATCTAGTGTTTCTTCCTCTGAAATAGCACCTTTATGGTATTACATGCACACACCTTGTCAGGTCTGCCTCATCCTACCTCCCAAAAAGAGTACACTCAACAGGAGCCATGCAGGCAGCTAGCTAAGTGCTGGGAATGAAAGGGTGGCTTCCTCCCAGCTGACCCAGCATTTCCACCATTCCAGTTCTTTGAATTCATCATCTATGCATCATGTTGACTTCAAAAGACTGCTCTTGGCAGATGAGATGGCCAGTCCACCACCTAATAAGGGAGGGACTTTGGATCAGGTTCCTCGTGCTGCTGATGAGCTGGGCTGAGGGTTTGAGCTGGCTTACAGGGAACGACCAACACTTCCTCATCCAGGTTTGCAAATGACATGCAGGGCCAGACAGGAGGTTACTGAAATGCCGAGGGGAGTAGGCTCAGAGCCCGCCTGGGACATTCTCTTTCTGGGTGAAACTAACTGATCCTCAAGAGAGCCAACCACTAACTTAGACTTCATTAGCACCTCATCCAGCTCACAAAATTAACCACTCCCATCTGCGCAAAGAACCACAAGGAAGCAAAAAGTTAATGGATTTGGAGAAGGCCTTCATTTTACATCTTAACAGGTCACTGACAACTTTTCACACTTTATTGAGAGAACCAACGGAGCCATTAGCAGGTCATTTGACTCACTCTCTTTAAAACCTCTCTAAGCTCAGTAAACAACTCTAATAGCTCCAAGAATAGACGGTGATCTGGGATTGTAGCCTGACGGAGGTCTGCCAGGCAGATTTGCTGGCTGCAGGCGCTTCCCAGCAGTCAGTGTCTTGCCAGGGAGCTTCAAGCTGCAGCTCAGTGCATTTTGAAGGACTTTCTTCCACCTGAGTTGCCCTGGTGTTCCATTTCTGTACCATGTGCTCAGCTTCAACCGCGTATATTAGGAACTGTGCTGTGTACCATGTGGTATATGAAGTGTGGACATTCTGTCCTCAAAGGTCTTCCTATCCAGTGAGGGATACAAGACATGGATCTAAATAGCTATCATTTGGGATAGAAAGTGACCAGTAGGGGCACCTGGGTGGCTCAGTCGGCTAAGCGTCTGCCTCCAAGCCAGGTCATGATCCCAGGGTCCTGGGATCGAGTCCCGCATCGGGCTCTCCACTCAGCAGTGAGTCCACTTCTCCCTCTGCCTCTCTCTCTGTGATTTCTCTGGCTCTCACTCTCTCTCAAATAAATAAATAAAATCTTTTTTAAAAAATAACCAGTAATTCACAAGTATTATACACTTTTGTGCCAGTTAAGGTGCACTGGAGATTCAGTGGAGAGCAAGTCCTTACTAAAGGTTCAGGAAGCATTTGTTGAATGAAGGAGAGGAGGTAATAATTGCTCAGCGTTTACTATGGACCAGACTGTGTGCCAGGCATTTTCTCATTTAATATGCTCTTTACAGGTGCTCTCTTTGGTAGGTAATATTATCCCCATTTTTAACAAATAAGAAAGGAGGGGCTCAGAGATGTTAGGTGACTTTCCCAAGGTCACTCAGATTGTGAATAGCAAAGGTAGGTATCCGACACAGAACCATCTGACTTAAAAGATCCTGCTCTTTCAACCTCACTACCTTTACTATTAGCATTGCAGGGCCTCCCTTCCTTCTGTGCTGTCTGATCTGTTTCCGAACTGAGGAACTTTGCAGGACAGCCAGACCCTGTGTGCTTACCTCCCCCAGTAAAGCCGGTGTAGCTGGTGAACCACCCCCTGTCGCTCCCCCAGGGCACCCTGAGTAACTCACGGCCATCCCTGGGATGCAGCTTATACCTGTCCTCCAGAAAGGCTTCTCTGATGAAGTTCCGCAGAGCGTGTGTGCGTGCGCGCATGCGCCCTGCGTGTTCCCACCCCCACCAGCACCCACACTCATGCGCGCACACACAGTAGTACAGCAATGGCCCTACTGTGTGCTCCCATCGCCCTCCGCACTGGCCCAGCATGGTGTTTACTACGTGACGCTGTGCCCAGCCTTGCGGGTGAACCCCTCCTCCCCACCCTCTAGGACAGGAGGAATTCTAGCTGGTCTTTCTACTCCCAACGCTGAGCGCAGTCCAGGAACCCCATAAACCCTGGAGTCAGGGAAGGACAGACAGAAGGGAAAACTCTGCCCGGAGTCTCCTCCCGCCCCGCGGCCTCACTGGGCTGGCACTCCCTCGGGCAGGTGCAATTCCCTGCAGCCAAAGCTGGGGCCGGAGGGGAAGCGGGCCAGAGGGAAGAGCCCACAGCGCTCCTGTGACAAAGATCAGAGCCACTGCTGAGGAACATCTGCAGTGCCCACAGGGGCCGTGAGGATGACCAGGCATCTGATGGCCCTGGGCCTGTAGGTCCTGGGACGCTCCTGGAGGGTCTCCCGAACAGCCGTCCCCGACCCGCCTGTTCTGGGCTCACCAGAGGCAGGAAATTCCATGTTGTAATGGTTGGATTTCTTCCCTTCATTCCTGACCCATGACTAGGTAGTGAATTGGTCATTAAAGAAACCACTTAGGCAGATTTCAGGAACATCTGACCGCGCTCCAAGCATGCAGGGAGAGGAAAATGGAACAGGACCAACCTCGGGGCCACACAGTCTCACCTTCATTCCCGTTGCTTGCCTGACATGGGAAAGGGAATCAAAATGTTTGGAAGCCCTTCTTCTGTCAGCATCGTGGCCAGCGTTGCATGGAGCTGCGTTCACCACGTCAACATACACATTTGAAAAGCTCCTTTGGGCGAGCGGCGGCAGCCATGTTATCAAGCTGCACACCTGTTGATCTGGGCAGATTAGAAACATTGTTCCTGGTGTCTAGGGACGCAGCGCTTTTCAACAAGTGCTTTTCAGAGAATGAGCCATTGAGAGGTACTTAGCCTACATGTAGCCCAGGAACCTGAAAACAAATAAAAGTCCAATCAGTCCTGAATCAGCAACTCTGAGCAACAGGCTGGAGAATGGGGCGGCGGGCATGTGCAGAGAGCTGGTGATAAAGGTTACTACCCGGTAGATCTTTCTCTCCTGCACAGCTAATGGTTGGAGGAACCAAAAATCATCTTTACACTGCATTTGCACATTTTTTGATCAAGTAAGGAAAAAAATCACATTTTACTTCCTTTTTCTAAAAAGAGATTAAATGTGGGGGAGGGGATTTAAATTCACTCTTTCCATTCGCCATGAGGATTTTGCATTCCATGTGATCCATCTCAGTTTAGTTTCAAGCTGAGACTTTATTTCATTTCCAGACATGTACAGAGTGGTCCGTACCCCTCCATTACTTCTTCCTTTTGGACACAATCGCTTGGCGAGGCAGTAAGCCTGCTGGGTAAATCAAACTGTCAACTTTCCACCCTATGCACACCCTTTAGGTCTATGAAAGCAAACCCGAACAACATCTCCTCCTGCACCTAACATTCAATATTGTGATAAATCAGGTGAGCTAAAGCACTGGACTATTTAATTAAAAAAAAAAACTTTTTAAAAATAAATATTAAGCCCTTCTTGTTTCATTATTAGCTTTGCCTTATAGACTATAAAATATGTAGGTGGGTTACTATTCTTGGTTTTTATGGTTTTATTAACATTTCAGAGACAGACCAAAGCAGAGAGATTTCGAGCAGAGAAGCTGTTCACACAGTTCTGTATCCTGAAAGGTGGCTCCAACGGAACAAAAGGAAAAAATAACCGAACCAAGAAAGGGTCCAGCATCCTTTTCCTTTCAAGAGCTTGATATTCGAGGGCCTAATAGGGATCCATGAGTAGCCTACAGAGTGCCCTCATGGCACAAATAATATTCACGCTGGTTGAGAAATGTGGACTTGGCTGAGCCCATCTGCTCTCACTGCAGGCCAAGGTTGCCTTTCATTTGGAAATCATGCTGTCAGCTTGGTTTAGAATATACATGGTGAGGCATATGCTTCTTACTGCCCAGGAAGAGGTTGATATGGAGAAATGTGAAGCCTCCTGATGAAAGCTTGCATTTATGGACTCTCCTCTTCTCTTCTCCCCTAGTTACTGTGACAGTGGGAGGCAAGCAGCACTTGCTCGGATTATATGACACCGCGGGACAGGTAACGTTTTGCTATTTTGATTCATTAAGGGTTTGGGAGTGGGGAGAATGATCCATGTGGCTAGGCATATGGGAACAGATATTACCTCTTCTGATCACTTGGGACAAATTTATTGTCTATCTAAATGACAACCAGTGGTACATTCTTAATCTTAACAACGTTTATAATTACAAAAAAACCAAATCATTACATTACTCAAAGTGTTGATGGGCAAATAACGATTCATTCATTGGTTGATGACTATCAATAACCAAAATAACATATTTGGCCAAGAGCCTCAATTTCTTCCTACCCACACCAATTTTGAATTTGGAATGAATGAGTCAACTTTATAAATTTTACTTTCACCCATTTTTTTTCATGTTATATTCTTTGCCCAGCCTTTATTTGAATTGCCTAATGAGCCCTGGAAAGGTCTAAAAAGAAATGGGGGGTGGGTGGGGGTGGGGAGGGAGATGGATTAAGTGTTTGAAAGAAGAAAAGCCGGGATCCTGAATGGTTTCTAAAAGTGAGGGTCGAGCCCTGAATAACTGGAGGTTGACTCTAAATTCTCTAAGCTTCTTGAAATAACCTCACTCTGTCAGAGATATGTCTTCAAGTTGGAGAACGTGGCCAACCAGTAATGTAAGGCCATAGACTAGAAAGAACCCTCAACGCATATCAGTTAGCACAGCCCTACTTGGATAAAAATGCCACCTCATCTTTCTTTCCTCGCACCTCACACTCCACTATGAAAAGTTTCTTAATGTTACAAATTCATGGGTTGAGCAACTGATGGCTGTGGCCCAATTTCTTTGATAGAGCTTTTGTTACCATTGGGTCATTTATTTAGGTCAAAGTCAGCGGGTTGTTCATACATCTTAACTCCTTTGGAGTGAACATTGACCATGCTCTTTCCCACTCTGAGTTTCCTGGTCATTGTTCTTTGTAGTTATGCATTTGTCTGGGCCTTTTGTTCACAATTATCTGGAGATATGTCTTTTTGCTCAACTTGAAAACTCTGTACTAGGAAAAATAATAATACATGGAATTCCTTTGGGGGTTTCTGTATGTATTTGCAAGGACCATGTATAAATGCCTGTGGGACATTAGAGGCTGATGTAGGATAGGCCTGGACAGTGCGGAACCTGGAAAATCTTGCACCAGACTCAAGACTTCTAAGAATTAGTCAGTTACCCTTCATTTGCAGATGGTTGTTTTAGCCAGCTACTCTCAGGAACTGGGGAGTGCAGGAGGCTTCTCCCATCGATATCAAGACACACAATTAGGAAATGATGTTCCAAATGCCTAAATCGGAAACTTGGTTCAGCTTCTCTGGGTTAAGGTACAGAGGCCTCAGTGCACCTGCTACTTGGCTGCCCTCCCCCCCCGACCAGAAAGCCTTCCAGCAATAGAGGTACACTGTTTTTTGGACTGAATTTGCCTACTTTCATTCAGTCATATAGTCATTAGGGTGTCCCCATTCATCAGAATCTCACTGCCTGGAAGAGAGCGTTTATACCCTTCATCCCCATAGTCAGAGTTTATGAATACAATCTAGTTTGAAAAGTTCAGTACAGCAAGGATTATTGCCTGGCTCTGAAACCTCTCTGTTTCCCTCACCTTCTAAAAAGCTCCCTGTGCCCCTCACGCCCATCTAGTGCTCCCCTCTTCTATATCAGTCCATGACAATTGTTAGCTTCTACCCATTCATTGTCCCCAGAACAAACTCCCTAAGCCTCTGTTTAATTTCAAATCCAATATAACTATTTAAAAGCTCCTATAAAGTTTAATTATTCTTTCCCACTGCTGTCTGTTTTAGAAAAAATTTTAAATAACACTAGTATAAGACTTGAAGCTCTAAAACAGTATAAAAATATCCTTAAACTCCAAATTGAAGAAAATAGAATGATCCAAACCTGACACAGAAGAAGTGATGGGCACTGATAAAAATATCACAAGTGGGTTATAAATATTCAACTTAACTTGTACTCTAATACTTTCCACCAGCTACTTTGAAAGCTCAAAAGTGGACAACGTTCATGGAGGGGCATGCAGCTTGGGGAAAAGGAATCAGAACACATCTTAAGATTCCTGCTAGGCCTAAAATTCTATGATTAGGACTTTAAGAGACTACTTCAAGAAAGCCTAAAAGACCTGGAGTAATTAAAATAATTTGAGGCCAGACCCAGGGGAAACCTTCCAGCAGCAAAGAATTATTAAATATTGGAGTGTGTTACCACCTAAAGGGTGACATGTAATTCATTTTGTACAGTAGTCGTGGTTCTCAAACTTGAGCAGACATCAGAATCACATGCAGCCCCTGGGCCCCTGGGCCCCACTTTCAGAATTTCTGATTCTACAGGTCTGGAATGGGGCCCCCCAAGAATTTGCATTTCTAACAGGCTTCCTGGTGCCTTGGCTGCTGGTCTGTACACCATATTTTAAGAAACACTTCTGGGGCACCTGGGTGGCTCAGTTGGTTAAGCGTCTGGCTCTTGGTCTCAGCCCCAGTCTTGATCATAGGGTCATGAGTTCAAGCCCAGTGCTGGGGGGGGAAAAAAAAAAAGAATCACTGTTCCGGAGCCTTGCCACTCAAAGTGGTGGTCCACCAGCAGCATCAACATCACCAGGGAGCTTGTTAGGAATGCAGATTCTCAGGCTCCAGCCTACTGAATCTGAAAATTCATTTTAGGAAGATCTCCACATGATCCATATGCGAAGCACTACTCTAGAAGTCTCTGGTGATCAAAGCATGGCTCTAACATTAGGAGGATGCAGTGGAAAATACCCCTTACCTGAGTTGATTCCCCTGGTTCCACACCTCTGCCAATATAAGGGCTTTGTGACACATTTAACTTAGAAGCATGATCCCAAAATACCCATTGCCTGCCTCAGGCAGGATCATCCACTGTCCTCAGTTACATTTCAGCAAACGTCACTGAGGTCACAAGGTTAAGGAACATTCAACTCATTCAAAAATACTCATATGGCCAGAGTTACTAAGAAAGAGAGGTGATCTCAAAACCAACTGATTAATCTCTGAACCACAAAAAAGAAATAACTCTGAAACCAACTCTAGAATGCTATCTTGCTGGGAATAATTAGATTTTCTGACATGAATAAACCAGGAAGTAGCGTCCCTCCTCTTTGTCTTGAGCTAACTGTGGGTCAGAGTTGATGAAAACCTCAAGAGGCACATGTTCTGAAAAGTAAAGTGATCGGAACTCGGTATTTCTACCCTCAAAGTCAGTGCTAGACAAAATGCTTTAACCAGGCTCTGTCCACATGGCCATACCTAGTCATACCACTGTGGCCCCACCAGTGCCCCCTCCATAGACATGCTCCTGGCCCTTCAGAAGCCCACCAAGCATTTGCTAAAGACAATTTAGAATGAAGTCACATGGGGGCGCCTGGGTGGCTCAGTCCTTAAGGGTCTGCCTTCGGCTCAGGTCATGATCCCAGGGTCCTGGGATCGAGCCCCGCATCGGGCTCCCTGCTCCATGGGAAGCCTACTTCTCCCTCTCCCACTCCCCCTGCTTGTGTTCCCTCTGTTTAATAGCAGCAGCTATTAAACATGAGCTCCCTCCCCAAATCCCTGAAACAAAGGAATATTGGGACTTGGAGTAGAATCCTTTGAAAACAAAGAGTCTTCAGAACTCTGGTTCATCTATTAGGTAGAATTCCAAACACTAAGTTAAGGCAATGAGGTGAGGGATTTTTTGCAGGCTGACTCTGCATGTGACCCCTCAGTTCACACTGGAGAGGCAGTAAGGCCGGGCCTGGATGCCAAATCTATTGAGGTTGTGCCAAGTCATGCTGTATAGCACAGGCCCCTGGTAGTGTATTACTAAAAGTTTCTGAAAGGGATTTCTAGAGTTCAGATCTTTGGCTCAGCTACAGAGTCCCAGAGCTGACTTTTCCATGACGTACTTGCAGGCCAGTGTGTTTCGAGTGCGTCATCAGAGACCAAGCAGAGAACACGATGCTGGGGTGGGGACGCTGCAGTGAAGTCTGGGCATTCGCCAACCGAGGAATGCCAAACTGGGGGACCGGTCTGTCCCAGGTCATGGCTCAGAGCCAGGCAACCTCCCATCCTGCTCCCAGCCACCTAGAACGGAGCCTGCCATGGCAGGAGACATCCTGCCTCCTCCCGTCAGTGAGCCCTCAGCTAAACGAGCCATGTGGGTGAACCCCTACTCAGATCGTGGCCCCTCAGGCTCAACTCCAGGATGGACATATCTCAAAGGCCACATTTGCAAAAGTGGTGTTGGCGGCACCATCAGGGAAGGATAGGGATCTCCCGGTGTCAGGAGCTGGGTATCTCAGCAGGATGAACCCCCGGGTTCTCTGCACACAAGCACCACAGGATGGGGGGCTAACTGTATGTGGGCAAGCATGGAATGGTGTCTGTCACTGAGAAGCCACAGCCCCCAGCAGCTCAGCTGTCACCAGTGACCAGGGAAGTGTGGGGGTAAAAAGGCCATCAGCCACATGCCGCCCTCAGCCGGGACTGCGCACCACGTGCCTTCACCTGCCCTGATTCCAGAAGCTCCTCTGCCCCCGAGAGCTTGACGAGGCATGAGAGGCAAGTACAGCTGGGGTTCACTCATGGCAACCCAGGGTCCGCTTGGAAGGACGTGAGCCTTCCCTTTGGCCATTGGCTGACCCCATGGGGCCATCTGGAGCACAGAACCTGGCATCAACCCTCCACGTAAAGTTTGCCTAACACCTCAAAACAAATGTTTTTTCCCCAATGAGCAACTCAACTTTTCTTGCTCATAGGTATCTTAGTGTGGTTTCAGAGGTATGCAATTTGGAGATTAGGAAGAAGTTTGCTAACACAATCTTACTTCTCAAATTATTAAAAAAAAAAATTGAGCTGTAGGGACATTGATTCAGAGGTGTAATTAGAATATGCAAGTACGTGGGTCTTGTTACTAGTCAGTTTAGAAAAAGTGAATTTCAGATTCAGCCCTGGTATCCACTGAGGGCGGATTCACTGAAGCTATTGTTCACGG